TTTCTTTCTATTTTTGGTAGAGACGGGGTCTCGCTCTTCCTCAGGCTGGTCTCAAACTCCTGAGCTCAAACAATCCTCCCGCCTCGGCCTCCCAGAGTGCCAGGATTACAGGCGTGAGCCACCGCGCCCGGCCTAGTAGACATTTTTTTAGTAACTTTTAACTTGGAACACTCTTTGGATACACTCTCATCACCTACGGAGATCGTGTGCACTACACTTTAGTGATGAGTAAGGACGGCCTAGGGATTAATACGTTTCCCCCGACCCGCTGATCTGCTGGACTCTGTAGAGAATACACTTTTTGAAATGATCTTTCCAGAAGTGTGTGTAAATGTCCCATCTGCAAGTTCCCTCCTGGCCTGGTGGTTGTCAGTGACAAGACCTCTCCCTCGTGACTGTGCTTCCAGGTGATGACACATCTCCACGTGATCGAAGAAAGAAGGAACCAAAGCCTCTCTCTGCTCTACAAAGTACCTTATGTGGCCCAAGAAATTCAAGAGGAAATTGGTGGGTACTGACTGTACCAAGGTCAGTGGGTGCTTCTTGCTGGGATTCAGGAGTGGCAGCCAGGCAGGTGGGAACAAACAAGCCCAGTGAAGTTGGGCCTTGCACACCATGGTTTCAGAAGTCTGGAATCCACTGGAGCTTACATGACAAGGTCAGGGAGTAACCAAGGACAGATGTACTGGCCGTGAGCCACAGATTTTTGAGTTTCATCAACCTTCTGTTAGCGGAAGAAAATCTAGGGTGTGAAATTGCAAGGGACTAGGAAGTTTCCTGTTACTATTTTCCCCCTTAATTGCTGATGTGTTCAAGAAAACCCAATTTAAAAAAAATCCCAACCCCTCCCCCAAGCCTTAACCTCAACTAATCAAAAAAATTTAATTTGTCTGCTGTTTGTCACAGAGAAAAATGGTGTAGAAGCAGACAATACCTGCTGGAGTTCATGTTACAGTAGGAGAGAAACAGATGGTGAAACAAGAAAACAAGTGTCAGATGGTGATAAGTGCTGTGCAGAGAGTTAAAACTAGGGCAGAGTGGTGGAGAGTGGCCGGTGGTCGGAGAGGCTGCCTGTGGGGGCGGTAGCCTGAGACCTGAATGGGGTGATCGCAAGGGAGAACGTGTCATTAGCAGAGGAGACCGTGACCACAGAGGCCTCGAGTGTTGGTCAGGTGGCACATCTGAGCAGATGAGCGTAGCTGGAACACAGCGAGGGGATGAGGCCAAAGAAGTAGGCGGGGGCTAGGTCTGGGAGAGGAGGTAAAATTAAGGAGTTTGGATTTTCTTCCAGGTTGATGGGAAGCCATCGGAGGGTTTTGAGCTAGGAAGTGACTAGGTCTGGATTATGCTTTTTAAAACATGAATTTTTTTAAAACTCACTTGGCTGCTATGTGGAGAGTTGATTAAAATTGAAAGCCAGACAGGAAACAACTGTAAAAATCTCGGAGAGAGACGATGGCAGTATTCACTGAAATGGTGACAGAGGAGATGGGGGCCGGAGTCCCAGGGCAATGGGGTGGCCTCTAGGATGTGTCCCGAGGGAGAGTAAAGGGGTGTGCCCAGCTTTGCCTGCGGGGCTGAGGGAAGGAAAAGCATCGAGGGTGACGCGGAGGATTTGCGAGAGCAGCTCGGTGGGCGGCGGCGCCAGCGTTTACGAGGTGGGGAAGGAAATCACCAGTTCTTTCCATACACACAGACCTTGCTGTTGGGCATTACGTGGAGGTCTAGGGTGTGCTATTAGAGGAGGCAGAGGCTGGGCGGTAGGTGCAGGACACGGGTTTGGGCGTCTTGGTGTATAGGTGGTTTTAAGACTGGCGTTGGGAGAGGTAGGTCAGGGTACGAAGTTGCAGTTACGCAGGATGGATAAGTCTGGAGATGGTTCGTGCAGCATGAGGACAGTGAGTAATAATACTGTGTTGTACACTGAAAATTTGCTGAGTGCATTTTAGGTGCTCTTACCAAAGAAAGGTAACTATGGAAGGTGATGGGTATGTTAATTTGCATGACAGCAGTAATCATTTCACTATGTAGATATCAAAACATCATGTTGTACACCTTAAATGCGTGCAGTTTTTTTAAAAACCCAAAATCTGTGGTGCAGGAGGAGACCACTTAACTGGAGTGTGGAGAGGAGAGGAGAGGGGTCCCCGGGATGGGCCCTGGCCGCCTGTGCTGGGGCTCTGTGCTGCTGCAGAGTCGGGAGGTGTCTCAGGGCAGGGCCAGGAGCCATTAGCGGGGCCTGGGTTGGTGGGACATTCTCCTCGGCACATCTCAAGCTCTAGAACGACAGGAGTCAGCCCTTTTCAGACTGGTGGTTCTGTGCCTAGATGCCAAGTCCTTCTAAAACCTGCCGTCTGTCTTCAGATGAGCTCCTCCAGGAGCAGCGCGCAGACATGGACCAGTTCACCGCCTCCATCTCAGAGACCCCTGTGGACGTCCGCGTGAGCTCAGAGGAGAGTGAGGAGATCCCGCTGTTCCACCCCTTCCCGTCCTTACCTGAAAACGAAGGTGTGTGTGAGTGACAGCGCCACTTCTGGGCAGCAGCGGGGAGGACAGAATGAGAAAACTACCGTCAGTTTTTTGAAACTGGGTTGAGGTGGGCAGGTTGTATTCCTGTGAGAGTCAGAGGAAGGGAGACTGGATTCATTGAGCACCTACTGTGTGCAGGCAGCATGCTGGGTCCTTTCAGTATGAAAGTAGTTGGTTGGCTTCAGCATCACCATGAAGTTAGGAATATTTGTCCTGTTTCATAGATGGATGGCTTCAAGCCTGCTGTTCTTTCAGCTCAGGTAATGTCTTACATGCGAGAGGCACTTCACAGTGTCGATAGCTCCTTCGTGTCACACTATGCCATTACCATCTCATGACAGGCAGTGGGAGGGCGGTAAGGGACAAGCTCAGGTGAGGGGCTGGCTCAGGGTCGCATCTCTGACACAAGTGGGGGCAAGAAGCTGTGTCCTTTGACTCCTAGGCAGGCACTCTTTCCTCCGTTCCCTTGCTGGTTCTCGATGTCTGAAAGTATCTCTGAAAGCTGGGAGCCTGCTCCAGCAATAAACAAGTTGCTAAGACCGGTGCCCTGAGACCAGTGTGTGTGGTCAGATTCTATTTGCCGCTCTGGCTGCTGATGGTGGCAATGATAAAAACGGCCCACAACTGTGGAGTCCTTGTTATGTGACAGTTTCAGCTAAGCATTTTTACATGGACTCTCTCACTCAGTCTGCAGAATAACCCTCTAAAGTAGGTACCTGAGTGTCCCCATTTGGGGATTCTGAGGTTTAAAGAGGTTAGGTAACTTGCCCAAAGTTATGGAGAGTCGGGATTTTACCCCCAGCTGGTTTGGTCCCACAGTCACGTGTCACAGTCACTGGCTCTGGCTGGACATAGTGCTGGAACAGAGGCCTGAGGAAGGCACCAAACTGGAGGGGGGCAGGGGGGTTCGCAGAAAGGTCGGAGGTGTGGGCTCAGTGCGGTGGAGCCTCCGATGAGAAAACAGCATCTGAGGAAGTAGCAGATCGAGAAAGAGGCAGAGCTCTTACTGCAGCGCCCGACCTCCGCGGGCTGCGGGGTGGCTGTGCTTAGACACTGGCGTGCTGGTCTGGGGTCGGGGCATCTCAGACATAGCTGAGCTAGGACCTCATCTCCCTGTCAGCAAATCATGATCAATACTAATTTCAATTTTTGCCGTTTTATAAGAAAAATAATTTTGTGGGCTAAGCTAAATAATTTGGAAATCTCCCAAAATTTCCCTTAAAAGGCCCAAAACAGACCTACTACTACCTTTTTCTTTCTTATCAGTGTTAGCCTCCAGAGATTTGCTGTGGATCTTACTACAGGTTTGTTTATGGGATATTTCAGGCATGTTTTTAAGGAAAAATACCTTTTATTCAAATTATAGAGAAATTCTAAGATAGGAATTTTGAAAGAAGCCATTTTCTTTCTTAATCTCCTTTTGTGCTATTTTATTTTGTTTTTTATTGTTTTCCTTTCTGCTAGACACTCAGCCGGAGTTGTACCACCCAATGAAAAAAGGTTAGTTCGTCAAAGATGTTCCCTTAAGACCTTCATTCCTTTTCACTCCCCAGTGTGTCAGAAGTTTCATTTTGTTTCATACCATCACCTGATTTTTTTCCCACCTCATTGCTTCCGACATAGCTGTGAGTGGAGCCAGAGGGGCCCCCGTGTCGCTAACAAGCTGGCCTGACCTTGCAGCACTGAGCGTCAGTGGTGTTGGTCACTGTGTGACCATCCTCAGCTCTCTTCTGGGATGTCCAGAGAACATGCAGTAACCAAAATAGATGCTTGCGTAAATCCTTTTCATCTGGATAGTTTGTTGTTTTTTTCATACAGGGTCTTGCTCTGTTGCCCAGGTTGGAGTGCAGTGGCACGATCATAGCTCACCGCAGCCTTGAACTCCTGGGCTCAAGCGATCCTCCCGCCTCAGCTTCCTGAGTAGCAGGGACTACAGACATGTGCCATCATGCTTGGCTAATTTTTCTATTTTTTGTAGCGATGAGGTCTCAAACTCTGGGCCTCAAGCGATCCTCCCACCTCAGCCTCCCAAAGTGCTGGGATTACAGGCGTGAGCCGCTGCACCCAGCCTAATCTGGATAGGTTTTTTTAAAGTACACCCGGTTTACACAGGTTGGTTGTGAATTGCTAGTATATATAAAAATAGGCTTAGTTTACAGTCAGGTGGAGAGTCTTGTCCTTTTACCTCTTCTTTTTTCTCTACTGTTCCCACTTCCATCTTTTCTTTTTAGCTATCCTTGCCCTTTGTCTGTGCCAGTTGTCTCATGTCCCCTGAGTTGTAGCATTCCTTAGAACATTAGAAACCGGTGGATGAAGCAGGTGGAGACAAGTGAATTCTTGCTCTACTGAGTGTCCAGTTTTCAAAACAGTTAACATTACACAAGCACTGCATGGAATGCTCTGCATATTGATCTCTTTGAACCCACTGAGCATCCCTGTAGGGTAGGAGTTTTAGCTCTATTTTATAGATGAGGCAATTGAAGAAGCTCCTGAGATTACGTGATTTACTCTAAGTCATGACTTTAAGCAGTGGAGGAACCAGGATTTGAACCCAGTTTGCTGTCCTCAAAGCCCATGTGATTTCTATTACCTACTTGCCTGTGTCAGCTGCTGAATCCCTCTGGTGATTGGACAGTCCGATCCTCAGGTGTCATTGTGAACAAACGGTTCAAACATTCCATGTTCTTAACGTATCATATGAGCCTGCTCTTTTGGCTTTGGCAGACTTTTATGGATGGAGCAAAGCAGTGTTCCCTGGCTAAGAATTTGGTATTCTGGTTTATGTCACAGGTTGTTCTCAGAACATAAAAGTGTGATTTGAATTTTCTGAAAATCACTTATGTATAAATGCTTTATTTTGTTTTATTTAGATGTGTCTCTTCTTGGAGATCACTATGCCAACATTTTTTGAAACATCACAACTTAGATGCCTATAGAGATGAATTTTTCTAGAAGTTTAACTGGCTTTCACCTTTGTATTTAAACTGTTACGAGTTGGGACAATTTAACCATTAACTTTTGGTCTCTTGAAGTCACTTGTTTATATATTTTATAAAACCAGAGTGGTTATTATGGTCAGTGTTTAACACGTGGATTTTACCACCAAAAAAGTATTTGAACACTGTAGACTGGCAGTAGGACTTTAGATTAATTGTCTCAGTGCCACACTATTTTTCAAATAGGATCCTACCCATATAACCTTTAAAAATCTGAGGAAGAGAGAGAAAGAGATGGAAGGAGGTCAGAATTAGGATTTACTGGACTTGATCATAAGCATCCTTGCTCAGGCAACACCCTTGCAGATTCCTCTTTCTCAAGTAGTTGGAGTGCAGCATTGCTGTTTCATTGGTATTTTCAGACTGCAAAAGCCAGCTGTGGTTTAACCAGAATCGAGTTGTGCAGTTCTTCTTTAAAGTGGAAACTTTAGAAAAGATCACATCATTTTTACTGCATTATAATGAGTTAACACATTAGCTGGTCTGCAAGTTTAGCAGCTACCATAGCTGTTCCCATTGCTCTGTGTTAAGAACAAGTCTGGTTGTGAGCTGGAAGCTTTGCTATAGCTGGGCCTTGTCACTGTCTGCCTTTGACAAGCCCAGGGACAGCAGTGCTGTGTGTGTCTTCATGTTGGAATCTTGCTTGCAGGTAATTACCTTAGTATGCCAAATGTGCTGTCAGGTTGGTCTATTTCTAAAGGTTCAAATCTAGACATTTATATAGAACTTTGTCTGTTATTATTAATAAACTCTTATAGCTGGAAATCACATGTTTGGAGCTAAAAATAGAGGACTACTTCTCACTTGTCCCCTCCCTGGTCCGTACTGGGTCCAGTCACGCTGCATATTTGGATACTGTCATTTGGAGCGCCACACACAAGCGATGCTGTCTTGGGCGGTGTCTGACCTTGGCAAGAGGAGAGTTGCTATTCTTGCTCTGTTTAGAGAAAGGTGCCTTCCCCCTGGTGTTACACTTCTCCCTGTTGACAGACCGCTTCCTTCCTGTTTGTTCTCTAGTCACCATTGGAATGTGACTGACTGTGACCTGGGCACGGAGAGGGACGCAGATTGGTGGGAGCCATGGAAGGAAATTGATAATTACAAACCTGATTTTAAGTGCTGTGATCTGTAAATGCCTCCCACGAGGAGCGAAACTTTGAAGGACAAATAGCAGGGGTTGATGTCAGGGAGCGTATTTATGTTGGGGAGGCAGAGAGCATTGCCTGTGGGCCAAACTATCGTGCTGGAGACAGACATGCAGATTGCTGTGTGCGGACCCCGGTGCTGAAGGAGAGGGCGCGAGAATATCACATGTAAGGGTGTTGCGTGTTGTCCATGCCGGAATGGCCTCCGTGTCTGTGTGTCTCACGGCGAGCGGTCTCTCTGAAGGCTTGCGTTCCATTTCTCTGAGCTGGAGACAAGTAAGCACTCCCTCCTCATTATTCCCATCGGTCCTCTGAAAACGCCTGTATCATCCATGGAGCACAGTGCATCCTCACACGCGTGTGCAGTCGCAGATCGAGGAGGGGAAGGGGGCACGTGGCGAGGGGCTCCCTGGCCCTGAGAGTTTGCTGCTGCCGTGAAAGCGACATGAGGTCGGCCGTCCTTGGAAACTCTGCCGTGATCTCTCTCCACGCAGGATCTGGAGCGGGAGAGCAGGACGGGGCACTGATTGGTGCTGAAGAGAAAGTGATCAACAGCAAGAATAAAGTGGATGAAAACATGGTGAGCCCACTCTTTCTCCTTCCCAGCATGTTTTACTTTCGAGACTCGTTAGAGCACGTGGCACAGTGTCAGGTGCGTGGCCACGTGTTCATTTTCCACGTGGTGCAAGGTTGGGGCGCCAGCTGCTCCCACAGACTGGCTGTCTTGTTTAGCATGTGGGCAGGAGGAGGAGTAAAGAATCTGCCTCAGCAGTAGCTCATCTCTTGCTATACAGGAGGAAAATACATTCGGAACGTGTTACAGGCCATATTCAAGTGAGTAGAGTTTTAATGGCTTGAAAATGGAATAGAGTTGGGTTTGGTTCTTATACTGTCTTAGGTTTATACTTCCTTTTATTATTCTACCATTTTCTATCATTTATATTTCTGGATTATTCTCACCTGAGTTTGGTATTTAAATATCGCTTCCTGGTAATCTGTCCTGAAACACTTCTCTAGAACGGTTACTTAAAGGAAAACGCAGGTATTTTCCATACTGCTATAAGGTATTTTCCGTCCACACTTGCCCCTTCGTTAGGCGTTTGGTGAGTGGATTCGGGCATCTGTGACACAACCGACTGGTTAGCGGGGCTCCCAACAGGTGTCTGCTTCCCCCCACCAAATAGTAAATGGAGGAGGAAAGCAGCAGTGATGTTGATACTAAATTTCCCCTTCACCCAGTTGCTAGTTGCCGACATTCTTGTGGCTGTTTCAGGTCATCGACGAGACTCTGGACGTTAAGGAAATGATTTTCAATGCCGAGAGAGTTGGAGGCCTTGAGGAAGAGCCGGTACGTGTTTGGCTACGGAACTTACTGCCTGGTTTCCTGTCAATCTTAGCTATTTCTCCTGTGGACCTTCTCATTCAAGTAGCAAGCGGGAGGGATGCCTGGTGTGTAGAGTGCCTGAGGGTCCCTCGTCCGCACTTCCCCGGACTCTCGGATAGGACAGCTAAAGGGAAATCTCCATGGAGGGTGGGAAAAGTGGGCGTTCTCCCCGTACGGATGCTTACCTGCACAGCAGGAGCTTGGTGTCACCTGGGACTTCAAAGGAGCTTGGCCCTTGGTGAGTTACTGGCCTCACAGCTGCCAGATGGTCACTGGCCTTTGTTGCACATCTGCTTTGTCATTCAGGAATCCGTGGGACCTCTGCGGGAGGACTTCAGTCTGAGCAGCAGTGCCCTCATCGGCCTGCTGGTCATTGCAGTGGCCATCGCCACGGTCATAGTCATCAGCCTGGTGCTGCTGAGGAAGAGGCAGTATGGCACCATCAGCCACGGGATCGTGGAGGTGAGGGGCTGGCGGGGGGTCTGCCCTGCACCCTGGGCCCGGGTGGAGATGAGCGGCAAGAACTTTGAGGAATTCGACCGTCTTAACTCCTCGAGTACTGGACATGCTGCTGCCGGTTAAATGATTTACTGGATTCCTAGGTCACGTTTTGGAAGCCAGCAACTAATAAATTGCACTGGTCTTGTTACGAGGGCTGTCGCCAACTTTCAACATCAATTTGGGCCCAGACTATGAATGTCAGAAAGTCATGAGAACATCTGACGCTGTAGAGGGTGAAAACTATTTGCTCAGATTGTTTCCTTCATGTTTCCTTTTTAGATATTTAAGAATGAAGGACTGCTACTAGTCCTCTCTTTTAATGGGGGAAAAAAACCCAAAAAATCGACAGGAAATTTAGAAAGAGCCAAAGCAACCTGTTTCTGTTCTGTCTTCTGATTTGTAATTGAACTTCTTGCCACTGTGGTGGGAATGTCCAGAGTCTCTTGAATACCAAGTATAAATGCAATAAGGAATATAATGTGCTCTAGAAAATTAGTTCAAATGCAGGTCTTAGTTATTTGGTTTTGTCTCCCACTGGAAACCAGCCTAGCTGTAGAATTTCAGAGCTGGAAAAGACCAGAGATCATGTCCCACTGCTTATTTCATAGCTGAGTGTTAAGTGGCTTGCCTCGGTCGTCCCAGAGGGTGAGTAGCAGGACTGAGACTGACTTGTCACTGTGGTGCCAAGAAGCCCAGTTGACTGTCTTCCACGTGGACTAAGCTTTCAGGGCTCTGGGTTCAGAGGCACCACCTCTTTGACCCCCTTTTCTTTCTCCTCCGGCGCCTCACCTCTAGCTCTCATTGGGTCTGTCCAATGGCAGCAGGGTGCTGGCTGCTTCTGGTCCCCAGGGGATTGTGCAGCAAACAATCTCAGTCTCCCAGCAGCCTGTGCAGGTCTCTTCCCAGGCACTGCAGTGGCCTTTGATCTTTGTTTTTCCAGGTTGACCCAATGCTCACCCCAGAAGAGCGTCACCTGAATAAGATGCAGAACCATGGTTATGAAAACCCCACCTACAAGTACCTGGAGCAGATGCAGATATAAGTGACAGGAAGCGTGTGGCACCCCTGCTTGGAGTGGGGTGGTGCAGGTCGGCCAGAAGAGGTCCAGCGATTTGGATTGACTACTGACCAGCAGTTGCTGCCAGAGGGCTTCGTCTTGCACCTGACCTCCTGGATCGTTAAGACTATAAAGTACTACTGTAGAATTGCAATTTCCATTCTTTTAAATGGGTGAAAAATGTTAATATAACGATATATGAAATATAAACCTTAAATGAGAAAAATGATCTATTGCAGATATTTGATGTAGTTTTCTTTTTTAAATTAATCAGAAACCCACTTCTATTGTATTGTCTCACACATGCTCTCCGTATAAATGGAAAATGTCGATTTTCAGCGATAGGCTGTGTATGCAGGCTGTTTGTTCCAGTTACATTGTGTAAGTCAGCTCTCTAGCTCGTTCACGGCCCTGGCTTTTACTGGAAAAAGAAGGCAGTATCCCCCTTTTCATGCCCTTTTTGAACGAGCTTTCAGGAAGTTGCCGAGCAGCTAGGTGGACGAGGGCACTGTAGCTGACCACCGAGGCACATGCTAGTAAGCCCTCAAAACCATTGTAAAGGACCCGTTCCTTGGAAGTCCAGTGTTTCCACTGCTGGGTACCTTGGTGTCCCCATACAATTGCTGTCACCGAGGAGGTTAGAGGCATTTTCATTCCAGCGTCTGTAGCGAGCCTGATGCACACAGGTGAGGGTGTCCACCGCTGCTTTGCTTCTCAATCCAGTTCTTCCACAGAAGTTAGCCTGTAGTTTGTACATGACGTTCTTCCACTTTCCGTCGTCTACTTTAGCTCTTTACTGTTCACGGCCCCTTCCCGGCGTGTCCAAATGTGTGGTCTCGTCCTCCACAGGCACTGACCCTCAGTCTCCCCTTGTGCCCTCACTCCTGCCTCCTCCTGCCACCAGCCTCTTCGGCATCCACGCAGAGAAGACCACAGTAAGGAGGCAGCTGATGGCCCAGGAGGGAACAGAGGTTTGTTTTTATGTGAAAGGAGAATGTTCCAGGCTGTACATGAAATTGATCTGCAGACACTGTGGAAAGCTTTGAAGATTTTTGTTTCTTTCACATGAGTCTTTGTAATGCTGGTACAGTCGGTGTTGCTGCTCACAGCTGTTCTATTCCTTTTCTTTTTTAATCTGAAGGTTCTGGTAACCTGTGGTGTGTTTTTTTTTTCTATTTTCCAGTAACTGTGGTTTTTTTCTTCCCTTTGACCCTATTCATGTCTCTTCCCACTATGCACAGATTAAACTTCACCTACAAACTCCTTACTGTGATCTGTGGAGAATGTACAGAGTTTAAACACATCAATAAATACTTTAACTTCCGCTGAGACTCCTGGCTTCATTGACCCTGGCATCGATCTGCCAGGATGGCTCTGCCCCTCCTGCCTTTGGGGCGATGGGGAGCTCCCGCGCGCTGCAGAGGCTGAAATAAGTCCGCTCCAGCAAGTCCTGGCACTTGGGCTCGAATTCCATTTTTCATTGAAAGAAGAACAGGGAAAGTCTGCCTGGAGCATTTGGCAAAATTTAATTTCGGCTACTGATATTTATTAATATGAGACTTTTCCGTAATGGTATTGGAGACAATGAGTAGAGCTTGTGGCTGGATTTTCAGAGAAACGTCTGCAGCCTCCATTTCTTTCTTAATAACTTGCTGTACCAGGAGGCCGTATCCTCTCACTGAAGGGGGTTTGTTTGTTGACCTGACAACTACTTAGAGGGCTTTGTGCCTGGGGGGCGGTTTTCACTACCGATTAAGTCTTTTTAATTTTCAGCTACAGGGATAAGTTCAGGGGCTGACCTCAGGGTCCCCGCCCTAGCTTAGTGTATCGCCAACTTAAGTACGTGCCAATACACTGTGGCATGGTTGCCGGGGTAATGCCACATACACCTGTGCGTGGACGTACACACTTGTGTACATCTTCCCAAGGATGCTGGCCTCGGGAGAGCATTTTACGAGCCTCCAGCCAGGAAGCGTGTTGGGACAAGCCAGGCGAACAGGCCGGCTCTTGGCAGCGATCGCACTTCAGCCTCTGCCTCCTGCACTGGCCACTCACGTTGCTGCCAGGAGAAGTCTTGAAGAAGAGGGAACTTTGTAAATTTTTTGAAACCAGTTTCTGCCAGAGTGCTCTGAAGAGCGCCATCACCAGACTGCAATATCAACTGGGAAGTGTGGATCTCACGCTCATTGCGATTTGAAAGCTAACAGACCAGCTTCCTTTATTTTAGTGCCTGCCATCTGCTAGCTGCTCTAACGCGCGGTCTGAGTCGCGCGGTCTGAGTCGTCTTAGCCTTTTGAGGGAGAGCTGAGTATTCTCCTGCAGAAAGCTGAGGTCAGGGGCTGGAGCAGACATGCAGACCCAGCTCTGTGGGAGTCCTGCCGTTCTGTCGTTCTGTCAGTTCTAGGAGACAGTGGCCTCTGGGGGTTGCCACAAAGCTGGTGCATGACAACCAGTACCCGTCCAACTGGGCGACTCTCAGGACTTACCCATTACCAACACTCTTGTTGATGATGGGAGGAGTCTGTGGCTGCAGCGGTTCTATTTGCATATTCATTACCCAAATGGGGTCGTCGCAGAGACAGCGGCCTGGGGAATTGCACAAGGAAATGTACAGGGCAGGACTGCCCAGGGGCCCCACCCTAGGCAGCTCCACTCTGCTCCCTGGTGGCACAGTCCCCTCATCAGGTACTGAGAGAAACTCATCTGGTTTCTGCCTCGGTGACTCAGCTCTGACCTCTGGGGAATGTGGCCCTGCCCATCCTGCCGCCAGCCTCGGGGGCGAAGGTCCTTCCTGTGTGCTCTCTGTTGCAGAGCAGAGCCCAGCAGGGAGGTCGAAGGGAACCGGGCCCAGGTGTCCTAATGTGTTCTGGTTTCAGTTGCTGTGACCGCTGATTCTCTTGTTTTAGGAGGCGCAGATTAGGATGTAATGTGTCCCTAAGATTTGGAGAGGCCCAGAAGTCCACTCATAGGAACGTATTGTCTCAGTTACTCGGGAAGTCATGGACACAGACAAAATGGGTAGAAGGAACCAGAAGGGACCTTATGGCTCCCTCGCTCATTTTGCAGAAACACGGCCACAGGGTCACCCACTGTTACTCTGGCAGAGCCCAGATCTGTCTGTGGTTACGTAGGACGGGCTCTTTTTTTTTGAAACAAAGGGTAAAGTGGTCCTTGTTAAGCAAGGAGACCAGTATCAACCACTATCTTGCCTTGTTCCGTACTATAGAATAAGGGGGGAGGCTGCCGTTCTCTCCTCTGCGGGCACTTTTGGCAGGCTGTCATGGTCACAGACTTGGCGCATTCCCACTGTGGAGCAGCCCAGCCAGCCAGGGAAAGGGAATTAAGTTGGTTTTTTTCCCTAGAATCCTTGAAATGGATGGGGCATGACATCTTGAGGAATCTGCTGGAGTTTTATGGCCAAGATAACCGGATCTGGTTGAACTTGAGATACTGAAGCTGATGCCGCCTCTTTCTGATGAGAGCAGTGGCCTCCATCAGTAAAACGTTTTTAGTGTGTGCCATATATAATTATTTTAAACTGTATTTTAAACTACATATAGAGTTATTTTAAAATTATATACATGTGCTATCATAAGTAGAAACTTGGAAAGCCTAAAAAATGAAATAATTTGTCCAAATTTTATTTAATCAGGGTGCGAAGCATTTTGGGTCCAGTAAAATGTTGCCGGTTTTGGCGCAGCATTGCTTTCATTCTCTCTCTCAAGTCAATAGTCGGTTCACTTTTTCTTAGTGTTTTTTTTTTTTACCTAATGTCCATTTTTTTTTGAGACAGGGTCTTGCTTAATCGTCCCGCCTCAGCCTGCCGAGTGGCTGAGACTACAGGGTGAGCCGCTGTGCCCGGCTGGCATCCTTTTTCTATCCCAGGATATGACATTATGTTTAGTTGCTGTGTCTCCTTGGGCTCCTCTTGACAGTGACAGTTTCTCAGACTTTCTTTGTTTTAATGAACTTGACAGTTTTGAGGAATACTAGTCAGGGTTTTTTTGTTTTTGTTCTTGTTTTGAGACAGAGTGTCACTCTGTTGCCCGGGCTAGAGTGCCGTGGCATCAGCCTAGCTCACAGCAACCTCAAACTCCTCAGCTCAAGGGCTCCTCCTGCCTCAGTCTCTCAAGTAGCTGGGGCTACAGGCGTGTGCCACCACGTCTGGCTAATATTTTCTATTTTTATTAGAGATGGGGTCTCACTCTGGATCAGGCTGGTCTCAAACTCCTGACCTCAAGCGATCCTCCTGCCTCAGCCTCCCAGAGTGCTGGGATTACAGGTGTGAGCCACCACGCCCTGCGGTAGTCAGGTATTTTGTAGGATGTCCCACTATTGGGATTTCTCCAATGTTCTTCTCATGATAACACGTGGGATTGTGTGTTATTGAGAGGAAGAGACGATGTGGCCTTCTCATCATGTCATATCGAAGGTACGTACTGTCAACGTGACTTATTGTTGATGTCAACGTTGATCACCTGGCTGAGGTGGCGTTTGTCAGGTGTTTCTATTCCAAAGTTAATCTTCCCCCCACCACCATATTGGCCTCTTTGGAAGGATGTCACTATGTGCAGCGCACACTTAAGGACTGGAGAGTTATGCTTTCCCATACCTTATTTTTCTATTTACTTTTTTTATTAAAATAAACTTTTTTTATTAGACATGGGGTTCTGCCGTGTTGCCCAGGCTAGAGCGCAGTGGCTATTCACAGGCATGATCAGAGCGCAGTGCAGCCTTCAACTCCTGGCCGAAAACCATCCTCCCACCTTAGCCTCCCAAGGAGCTGGAACTACAGGCATGCACCACTGTGCCTGTCTCATATCTTACTATTTTTTAAATTCTGTCTTAACACTTTGAGATAGAGCAATTAGAAAGTCTGGTTCAAAGGTCACTTTGTTGCAATACTACATTTAGTGGCTATAAAAACTGAGAGTTCTTGATTGTGGTGATGGTTTCACGGGTGTGTATGAGTATCAGAACTTATCAGATTGAACACTTTTAATATGTGCAGTCAGCTATACCTCAATAAAGTTGTTTTGAAAAAAAGTCTGGAAGGGACGACTCACAAAAACAGGCTGGAAGGAGCGAAGTGCATCATTCATTGGCTGTGCCCATTACAGAACGATACTGCATTTTCAGTCCTGTCTCCCAGCTCCATCTCCCAGTGTACAGGTGGTCTTCTAGGTGAGACGTCACTTTTGACAGCATAACTACCCAGTAATGGAACCTTTCCAGACATCCATTTCTTTAGAAAAAGTCAGCGAATTGGAATAGGTGTCTTTTAGTTTTAAAGCAAACAAGAACCATGTAACATCTTTAAGTTCAACAACTCTTCAAATACTTTGTTA